GGACCGCACAACAAGGATTAGAGGGACCACCTACAATATCACGCGCATTCATAACTACTTTATACGTTTCCGTACTTACACCGAGCCATGGCCCGCCGACCAACTCATGTAGTATCGATGTCGAATGACTTTTTTATGCCTCTTCGCATGCGCGCTCGCGCTGCGAACGTACCGATGTTTCATTTTCATATTCATAGGTTCATCTCGGGCGCACATGTATTATTTATCGTAAAATGCTTTTTATCATGTAGGTACGAGTGCAGGACCAACTTGTGACTAGACGACTTGAGTCCCGCACACTATTGCATGCGCTTCTTTTTTCTTGAGCGTGTGGCGCAGTTTTGTGCGCGTGCTACGCACCTTATCATTAGGACTGATCGGTTTCTTACGGTCGTATTATGACCATATTTAACGAGAAAAGAAGGTGCGCTGCCCGGCCAAAACATTTAGCGTCCAATGTGAGGCCATAAAGACAGTCCGTTTATGTTCAAAAGCTAACAATATAACAATATCAAATTACTCATTGTCTAAATGTAGAAAAGCCACAAAAAGCGTCAGAGGCTCGTGCGGTCTATTCTATTACTGCGTACGTTTTTAATAACGGCGACAAAAATCGAGCTTGATGTTGATTTGATCAAAATTCATCATATTACAACGGCTATAAAAATATCATCCCACCCAGCTCTGCGAATCCAAGAAGAGTTTTACGAGATTTGTTTGTCGCATTAAACGGTTTTTATTATTTGGTCTGTGCGCTTTATTGTTACTTAAATATTTAAGTTTAAACAGTACGAAGAATTTATTTCTTCCTGTCTCCAGGTGTAATAAATGGTCGAACACAAACTGTGCAATCTATAATCTTCCAATGACTAATGTGGTGGGTATCTGTTTATTACCGAAAGAGTCACCTATATTTAAAAACCTTCTCCTTTTCTTGTTTTTCTTACTTTTTTAATCCAGTCATTGGTCCGCGAATGTGTGATTCGAACAAATCATGAAAAAAACACTAATATGGATGCAACACCTACATAAATGCATAAAAATACAGTGTATAAAAGAACGATGAGCAAATACCTTTAAAAATAAAACAAATACAAATAAAATGTGGAAACTTCTTTATAGAAATAAGCTTAACAAATAAAAATAATGGTTTTTCGAAATAATATATATATGTAATCTTAGAAGAATTTGTTGGTTGTCAATGATTCAAACAATTTCACATGTTTAAAGTTTATTTGTTCGGGTAGTTTCAATATTAGTTTATTTGCTGTCGCGTGTATCGACCATGACAGGTGAGCAAGGACGTCGCGCCATATCTTCGACCTAAGCACAAGTTTTCCTCCGCCAAGGCAGTGGAACAACGTTAGTTCAACACGGCAAATATTAAACGTGTGTACAAGCACTAGGCCCGTCAATATTAAGTCTACATTATTACTAATTCGGCACGGTATTCGACAGCACACGCCAAGATACAATTTTCTTAACAATAAGTAGTTTTTTTTCCTATCTAATTTTCTAATCGAATTATTACGTTTTGTTAAAACCTTTGTGTAGTGTTGTTTACGTAATATTATTACACACTTAATACCAGGAGTAATAATTACGGCGTATGCAAATGCGATCCATATTATTCATTAATCCACGTAATTTTCATCTCGTCCAGCAAACGCGTTTCTACGTTTTTATTTCTCGGCGTCCGCAATGCGCGACATATGAGGAAGGTTACGGCACAATAAAAATTTACGTATAACTTTGGCAAGGGTAGCCTACGCGCTCGCGCCACAAAAACACCCACTTGCATATATTCGTGGGCTAAACACGTCGCTTTTTTCAACTTTTTCCTGCGTCTTGCAAACAGGCAAACACTGGTTGTGAGCACAGCGCACATTCTAGAAACGCAATAAATAAACTTTTGCAACTAACAAACACACATACATACATAAAGTGCTGCAGGTTACGATTCCTAATAGAATGGGGAAATAGCACTGTCATTTAACTTACAAATAGGAACATTAGAAATATATACTGAACGACATCTAACAAATGAAATATATGTACAATTAAATATTGTACAATTTATTGCAAGAGTTAAAAACTAGTATCGAAGTATTAAAGTGTTTTATTTTTGTTTAATTTATTTTTAATTTATTAAAAGTTTAGAGGTGAATTAAACTGTTTGCAAATTCTGGAAACACTTTGTAATATTTTTTTTATTAAACTGTGAGTGAACATAATTGTCAGTCATGAGTGTTTTACCGCATGACCTTAAAACAATCGGATGTAAATGAGTCAACTATTTGGTTTTGTTTTACACAATTTAAAACTTTGCATCAAATATTTTCTAAAATATCCTTGATATGTGGAAATTTTTAATTTTTTTGTAAGTTAATATCTATAATGTACAATAATAAAACAAGTTTCTTTGCGTGTGGTTAAAAATATACACTGGTTAATCTGGTTCTATATAAATCCGTAAGATGGCGTTGTATGTATTGAATCGGTGTGTTCCACTGAAATAAATTCATGCAGGTGATGTAGATTAGTTCGTTTTTCAACGCAGCGAAAGAATTACCGATAACAAGCGTGCGTTTCAAGTGTGATTGTGTTTTGGGCACGTTGCAACGTACCCACTTCGGAAATAATATTAATTCTCTAATCGGAAACAATAAATATCGATTACGTCAATGGCAGCATACGATGGTCGCGTTGAACGACGGCGCGAATCAGCCTTAAAACGTTTTTTCTTGTCCGAAGTACATTTACTTATGTAATTTTGTCATTTAGATAATGGCATATCGACGCGCGACTAGCACATCCTCGTTGCAAACGAGAAAGAAAAAAGTAAGAAATATTTAAATGTGCCGTGTCGTGCCTTTCAGCGTGTCGAAGAAAAAGCGCGTTTCACACCGTTGACGACATAATCAAAGTCGATAATGCTAGGAAAGCAATGTAAATAACTCAATACAATGTGATTTTACAAGCGTTGACTGCATAAGTAAACTTGTAACGACGGACAACGCGAAGAAATTCCAAAAAGTTGACCAAACAAAAGTCACTTAAATAAAATGTTAATTATAATGGTGTGCCGTAAAAAAGTTAACTAACTAACTTGTTCAACGAAAAATAAATAAATGAATACAGAATGAGCGCGCGCAGTGTAGTGGATTGAGCACATACTCAAAAATAAGTAAGTAATTAACGTTTTAATTATAATTTTTCCTTGTCGACGAGGATGTAAAAACGTCCGAAACGCGACGAGTAGCCATGCGAAATTGAAAGAGCGAGTAAAGTAAACGATTTTAAAGCAAAAATAAAGTTTCAGTTGAGACGTGCCTCTGACGCCCGGCTGAAATAATCGAAAAGTGGAATAATTAACTCGCCACAGCGCGGTACCGCATCGGAGTGGCTGATTACGCGAAATATTTATAAATTAATTAAAAACGGTTGGATGAGATTTTACACTGTCGTGCGACCTTTCGGCGCTTAAGTATGTGCTCATACACGCAATGTAATTCGAAATGTCGTTATACCAAACGTGCGACGGACAAAAAAATCAAGATTGTCGAGCTTTTAATCGATTTTGGACCAATATTTGCACTTGTGCAATGTTTAGCCAGGCGACGCGCTCGCCAGATCGGACCAATGTTAAATTTTTAACTTGCAATAAATGCAAACTTTCACCTGTAAAATGTCATTCGGGTTTTTCTTGCGTTCTTTGTTTTATTTTAACCATGTAATTAATCTGTATCATAGTAAAATAAAGATATAAAAATTGAAAGTAAGTCACAAGTCGACAAAATCATTAATCATTTTAAACTTATTTTAAATTTAAATAAGAACAAATGATTAATTTATTAGTTGAAATAACAATTAGAAACTTGTATAGTAAAATTATTAAATTTTATACACTTTATATACAATTAAGTTATTAATTCAATTAAAAAGTTGTAGTTAATGCTAATCCAGTTTGATATTAATAAAATCATCGACGCATTTCTGTTCTAAACATTATTCAACAGTTATTAATCTATTAATGCAACATTTCTATCTATTAAAAGCATTTCAAGTCGCATGTACGCATATGAAATATGAATTCTCCATCAATGTGAAATTGAATTTTTATCTCTTATTTTATTCCTAGCACACGACTCGTAAATCATAAAAATGCATCGATATGCGATACTCTCGAAGGCAAAAACGAATAGTTGAATGGCGAACGGCAAACGCTGAATACTTGAGCGCAGAATTGATATTTAGAGCGCACAATTTACAATTTATAATTTTGTTGGAAGCCCACACATATCAGCGACATTTCATTTCGATTAACGCGTTACGTTTTCGTTTTCGTCGCTCTTGCTTTTACGTGATACGCGGAATAGTATCATTAGTCTGCATTCAGTCTCAGTCTGATATGATACGCAGTCAATATCTAAACATTATAAACTTCTACACTGTTTCGTATATAATTCAACTCGGCCGGCAAATGTCCCTTTAAATTATGACTTGTCGTGAATTTATGAATTCTATATGACATATTAGAAATTGCATTTGTAATCGCAATCATAATAGGCAATAGTCAAGTGTTTCAACTTTCTGTTCAAGTTGGTTACCTGATTCTGCTGCGTGCGCGTACCACGGTGAGCTGTTATTGCTCATGATTTTTATTTTTACAGCTAGGAATGGAATGGATGAAGCGTTTGCTTTTATTTACCACGCGCGTAAAAAAAGACATGAGACTTCAAAAACATCAATATTAGTCTGTTATGATGAGGATTAACTTACTGATTACTTCTTATACGACGCGTACAAGTCGTACACGAGGGATTATGATAATAAGTCGCGTATAGACCTCGCTACCTCAATTCTAAGTCGGAGTTTCTTAAGTAAGAAATAAATATTTTCTTTTACGCTTTGCGTTTTGCTCCTGCGCTGCTGGGCAAGTTTTATTTACTTTGTAGCAATCGATGAGGGTCGTATAGTTTAAAAATTAAAATACATAGTTATCTTGTAAAAAAATAAACAATTTATTTTTACAAAGAGAAGTAGTACCAAAAGATTAAGTACAAAATATATCACTCGCGTCGGTGATGGTCGAGCGAAGAGAGAATAGATTCGTTATAATAATAATAGAATAACATGAAGTACGTATGTTCAAAGTAAGCAATTACTTTGATAAAAATTTAATAATATAGGTAACAAGTAGGAGAATATAATATTTATATTCTAATATCTCTTTTTTATTTATTATTGCTACACAAGATCGTTGCACTTAAATTTTAATCAGAAATTGTTCCAAAAGTTTTCAATTCTTCGTGCTATCAGTTCGTTGTTTATTTTCGATTGAGTTTTGTATTATATACAACTTATAATTAGATAAATAACTTAAATTTAATTTTCATCACACCCCAAAAGCGCATAAACTTGTTTCTTTTTATTTATGTACATCAGCTACAACTATTAACTATTAAGCCACTGACGAGGTGTTACGTTAGCAGGAATTCACTGAAATCCGTGTGGTCGTAATCCGTCTGCAGGAAAGGCGAGAGTGAATTCGGATCGCCGAAATCAACAGGCGAAAGGGACGTATCTGGAAAGTCCGGAGATGTCAACAGAGATGAATGGTCCGAGAGTGGAAGACTCTCGCCGTCGGATTCTAGAAGCAAACAGTCCAAATCACTGCAATCGCTGAATGATGGCTCGAGAAGGAAGCTTTCGAGGGCGGACGCTGCCGCCGCCGACGCCGCCGTATTAGAACCTGGCGTGTTATCATCGAGGGCGGCGCTCAGGGATGAAATGTATTTCATCGCCAATCGCAGCGTGGTGATCTTGGTGAGTTTCTCGTTGGCGGTTGGGGCGGGTTGTGTGGCGGCCATTTGGGGTATGACTCGTCGTAGCGTTTCGAACGCCTGGTTAATCTCTCGCATTCGGTTTCGTTCCCTGGCGTTTGCCGTCTTACGTCGGTATTTACTCAACGGTGCCGGTTTCTGCTTAGGCTTGTGGCTCTTTGCGGGTTTAGAACTTCCACCGGTTGAATTGGTAGAAGTCTTCGCCGAGTGGCCGGCACTCGCCGGCGTCGATGCACATACGCGTGATGCAGAAGCTTTAGGGGTGCTTTTGGCTAGCGTTTCTGTTACACGACGCACCGACCGCGGTCGCAGGGAGTATTTGTCCTCTTTATTCGAGGTAATCGTTTCGAAGTCGTCGTTATTGTTCGGATCGGTGGCGTAGGCCATTTCGGACAGCAGCGGAGAAGCACTCATTCTCTTGGTTGGATCAGCTATATCAGCAAATTCATTAGCGTATTGTTGCAGAAGTGAATCCATTTCCATGCACTTATTTTCGTTGCAAACACAAATATTACCAGTTTTAAATAATCCTTGCACGCACAAATATTATCTTTGTCACACTTTATTGCTATTTTAATCCATGACTATATTTTTCTCAACCAAGTTTTGAAGTGAGAAATCAGTTGAAACTTAGAATGATCGACCCACGAGACGCAAACGCGCTCGCGAGATGAGGCCTTGTGGAGGAGCGTGTCTTCTCCGCTGGACCGCGAGTTGGTCACTGTTTGTTTCTCGGATATCGCGTCCAGCGGTAACCATAGGTACGCACTCGCCCAAAGTCGGATGCGTCCCCCACCTGTAATAATGCACGGTGGACGGTGCATACATCGTGAGCACACCGCTCGGAGGCAGCAGTGAGTGCCAACACTCTTCCAACACCGGCCGAGCGCGAAACCCGACCGAATCGACACACTCCTTCGCTTCCGATGCTTCGTAGGTATCACGAGGTACGCGCAGGTTGGTAGAGAACAAGTTAAGCATGCGATGCGTCAGCGTGATCACGCGAAACATCAGAAAATGATGAATTATTGGTTATTTATTCATTTCCAGAGCAGCTAAATTTAAATGGTTAAGTATTATCCAATGATGCACAAGATCCTTGAATTTGTAGAATTCAGAATTAAAAAATGACTTTTTTGATTTTTTATTTGTTTTATAACAGCTGAATATTATATTATAGGAATATTAATATTTTCCTGACAATTGCATTCATTTAAGCAAGTCATGTTCAAAGTTGAGCCAAAATTTCAGTTAAGCAAGGCTTATACCTGATTATACCAATAATAAGACACCAATATGACCCTGGCAGGGAATATGCTTGCAGGCTTATTTCCAGGGAGTGCTAAAATAATAATAAAGTCGCATTTTATTATCCGGATCATCCGGTATAACGGTGACATACTCGAAAATCGCCACACAAATTGCATTTTTGGCATACATTCGTATGCACACACGAAGTAAAATAAAAACGAAAATAAATAAAATGTGTCTACTCGCAGCCGAATATGCATGAGGTGCGGTGATTCAAGTTTTCGGTTATTTTTGGCACGAGACAAAATCCATTTCCTGGGTGCGAGTTTGAGTTATAATATTCCACACGACAAGCCAAGCTCTGCACTCCAAACATGATCAGCATGAAGCACGCCGGTGCTTTCTGATTGTGTGCATGGCGAAGAGAAACGAAAACATCACTCACTTCTTGTCAGTGACAACAGATCGGTGAATTTATTTAAATCGACTAGATGCGCACCGGTGTGAGCAGGCGCTTGCGCTCGCGTATGCACTTTTGTGTCGCTTTGAATTACTAATTACGACGTGGGCAGCACGTCCGTGTTCCGTTGTGTGTTACCTGTTACCTGTTACTTATAACCGCACCGTTGTGCGCGGTCCTGTTCGTTTGTTTCATCGACGTGTCTACGATGATATGCGTTCTCCTTGCGGCTTCTTCGCGCTCTCTAGGTGGACGCACGTTCAGTACAATGCAGATTGAATAAGCAATGTGCGAGCACGTGTCCGACGTTATTTCATATCACAAGATATCAGAAGAAGTTGTTGAAAAGAGTGCGCGCCGGGCGCCGCAATTATTAATATTGTTTTATCTGTTTTTGCACGGTGTACTATACTATATCGGCGATTAAGCCGACATGTCAGGTGCTATAATTTCGCGCCCCTCGTGCCACGCATTCTTCGTGATGCATTGCGACTCGCACTCGTATGCAAACGCATTCTTTCTTCTCGAACGGGTGTGGAACGTGTTGCACATAGGTTCCGCGCGAAGAGGATAAATGCGTTCGTAATATTTGCAATATGTTCGAAATCGTTATCAGATTCTTTTCGCACCTTCTTGTGTTGCGTATGCACGCGTACTATATGCATATATTTATTATCCCTGCGCATCGGCGTGGTGTTTTTTAACGCGTTCGACTCTTTAATCATGTATACACATGGCGGATCAAGGAACACAGAGCTACAAATAATGCCGATCATAAAACAATTTCAACCTGGCAGAATATTTACCGTAGTAAATGTTAAATTTAATGCGTTTGCAAGCATAGATTCATTGTAATTACAACAAAAACGGAAATGTTTTGCGTCTGCAGTGCTGTGGATTCGGAAAAAGCGGCGCATTAAAAGCTCCGAGTACAAATTGAACCACCTACGACTCCGACTACAAATTTTGCATCCTAGCAATATCCTTATTGTTTATGATTATGCTCATTCCGTATCGTATGTACTAAACGTTTTTTTGCCTTGGTCTTTAATAATGAAGGGAATTACAGGGGTACTGTTATTATGGGCTGAGTCGCGCCTTCGACATTTTTAATTGTTCAACCTTTTTCACGTCTCGCCCGGGCTCGTCTTCTTGTCGTGCAGAGATATTTCACATCGGCGCATTGCGTTTCGTGTGTTTCTTTCATCGTGCTCGCACATCTCTTCTACTCGGCGCGCGTTTATATATACATTATGCGAATAATTTATTGCGCCGACGATTTTCACCAAAGCCATAATCAACAACGAAAACGACCACGGCACAATACACCGACGGCGCGAGTCGTATCAAAACGCAGTTTGAATATCGAAATTTTATACGCGCATATATACGAGTACATTCGCTTATTCGCGATTTCGGGGCTCGAGACCACCGAAGAAAAGGATTTACAGACGCGCAGATGTAGAACACCTAAATCATTCGTTAACGCTCAACGTTTAACTTGTTGCCGCTTTTTATTATTATATTTATAATATAATATTAAATGGTTATGTGTTTATATGCGAGATGCGAGAATTGCCCGAGTGTAATAACGATTCCTCGAGGGTTACTTCACGCGTTCGCATCTTATCGCAACGCGTGTCAACGAAATGCGATTCCAGTCATAAATCACGCGTACTGAGATTGAACCTGCCAATAAATAATTCACTTACATCCATTCAGACGCAATTTTATACCGGACATTTATCAAAATTTAACTTTTATAAATTTTATTTTGTTGAATTAGTTTGATTTGACTTTTTCTGCTCTGGTAATATCTCAGGACCTCACAGCATTGCGAAAATCCCGAAACGAAACGATAAAAAAATTTAATGGCGCATCTTATTTATGATATTTGTATTTTATACATTTATTGTTGGCATAATATATACTTCGTATGCGCGCGGCGATTGTTATCCATTCGCGTATTATTCTTAGCCATATAAAGCTTACGCGAAGAAGAAATCTGCCCGCCATGGACTGCCAAAAGTCGTTGAAAAAATTGCAACATATTACTTTATTTTATATCGTTTATTACGTTTGTCTTGTTATTCGGGGCGAGAGAAACTTAAACGCTTATAAGAAATACCTACCTACTTCGATCTTCGATATTCTATATCAAAAAGTTGAAAATTGATTTCTATATATGCCAGTGCCCAAAAACGGGGTGAATTTAAAAATAATATGGCAAGTAATTGAGTTATAATTAAAATAAAGTAGAAAAAAGTCGCATTTCAGCGCGGTGTATAAATAAATAAAAAGCGCTTTTAGTTTGGAAAGTATCCGGCGACAATATGGCGCCATTGCGAAAGTCGCAGATTGCTTTTTTCTTTCCATGCTTCATGCTCAAACCTTGCGCAACGCAGCTCGATGAAATTGATTTCACCGAGTTGGAATTTCATCGGCCGAATGATCAAAATATGAAATCCTTCATATATGAATTGTCAAATCAATAGATTCAAAGTTGACAAGACGCTCAAAATATTCATATCATATAAAACCTACAATTATCGATTCAACAAGCGAGTGTAGAGTAGTAGTAGTAATACCATCCTCAACATTGGTGCGTTCCATAGCATGTTCAGCCTTGATTGGCGGACCTACTTTTAATGTGAATTGTGAACAACAATCCGTGCGTCGCGCCGCCGCCGTGCTCGATGCCCGTCTCGAACAAAGTGGGAAAAACGCGTTGCGCCGGTTAAATACGGTAATTATGCTTAATTCGCACGCTTTGAGTACCCGCCGATCGATGTCGGCGACTAATGCAATAATGTGCGGTTGTGCGCCTGCCCAGCGCGCTCAAGATGGTAGACCTATATAATGATTGCAGTGCGCACACCAAAAATAAACACGCCTGCAAACAAATTAATTAATATCTCTACCCGCGCGGCCAATTAACGGTTTCCTTAAACGCGCGTGTTTGATAAACACATTGTGATATAATACATAATGCTAGGTTTTGTTGGGTATTATGACGACGTCGACACACGCCATGTTCTGTATCTGCGTATGTGTAAGATGAAAATCGAGTAATCGAGCGATTTTACAACTTATGGAGTCATGCGGCAATATGAGCGTAATGTTCGAGTAGCAACGTGTGCAGCGTAACGACGAGATTGGTGTTTAAAGGCTTCGCTGAGCACGCCATGAATTTTATAAATATGGAATTCAATTATGGCTATTATTACCAGTAAGTGCCAACTACAAACAAGTATGTACTCGTACTAGATTTAAAAAAAAAACACATAAAGTAAACATAATTTATTAAACACTTGAACTTATTTTTTATACACTTCTTTCTAAGTTAGGTACGTTTTGCAGAGGCTGGAAGTTAGTTAGTATTATAACGTACTTTATTCAAAAAACATATTTTACAACTAAACAAAATTTCCTGCTGTTAGCCAAAAGCTCAATTTATAAAAGAAGTTATTTTAGATGTATAGTTGTTGTGAAACAAAAAAGCGAAGATGCTGACGGTGGCGTAGGTGGTCTTACCCTTTAGGCCATTACAGAATTGAAATGTCATTTTAATTTGTACGTGATTTTTCATGCGCCCGAGCTTTAAGCTCACCGACGGTTACATCTGAAGACTATGCGCTCAGGATATTTTCTCGGTTCGCTAAACACACACTGATAATGATTGTTAATTTCACGTAAATTCTCTTCTGTCTTCTATTTTCTCGTTGATTTGAGTGTATTATGCTTTGCAACACAATAACGTCTTATTTTTTCAAGTCAAGTTGAACAATAAATAAATTTGCTTACAACAAAACTTAATATGTAATGACAAAATTGATTAATACCTTACATCGGGATGCACGTTGATGCGATGCATGTTTATCGTTAATAGCGAGCGATTTACATTGTGGCGCATAATTAATTTACGAATTTCATGAAATATTGCGCATTGGCGTATGGATATGTTTGCGTTTAGCGACGGGTGGCAAGCACGCGGTGTGGGCCGCTGTTTCACATACAATTAATTAAGAAGCGGTCAC